TCTATTCTATTCTATTCTATTCTATTCTATTCTATTCTATTCTATTCTATTCTATTTTCTTTTTCCTTTTTCCCCTCCACTGTAAATATTGATAGAGTATATGTTTACATATTCCATATAAAATAGTATGCTATTTTTACATTTTGAAAAAAAACTGTTCACCATGTGAACACAGCCAATGAGGAATCATATAGAAAAAGCAGTGATTTCATAGCACCATCCTTTGGCTATTTATGTATATATTTATTTAAACTTTGAAACTGCCAATTGCTGAAGCTCTCGGAGTGGTATACAATAAAACACAGTTAAAACATATCCAATCAAATCAAATACTAAATAAAGACCCTGTATAAACTGATGGTTATCAAAATCAAAAACGATATGAATTAAAATACAATTTTAAAAACCTGGGGAAATAGAAAGGTTTTCACCTGCCACCAAAATGATGCTTTTGAGCCTCTCTGGAGAGCCTCTCTGGAAAGGGCATTCCATTCATCGGGTGCCACCACAAAAAATGCTCTGTCCATTATAGGGGTCTTTTGGTCAGAGAACCCAGAGGAGGTCCTCATTAGAAGATCTTAAGATCTGGATATGTACATTAGGGAGAAGGAAATTCTTTGGGTACCCTGGTCCTAAGCTGCTTAGGCTTTAAAGATCAACCCTAGCACTGTGAATTGGTTCAGAAGTGGATCGGCAGCCCCTGTAGATGGCAACGTGCTAGCATAATGTTTGTATCAGCCAGTCCCAGTGAGCAGTCCAGACGCTCTATTTTGAGCCAAGAGAAGTTTCCAGACCATTTTCAAAGGCAGACGCACGTGGGATGTATTGCAATAATCCAACTTTCCAGAGCATGAATAACTGGTGGTATCAGTAAAGGTAACAACTTTTTTTGCCCTGATCTAGCTGTTACAGAAGGATTGATAATGAAGCTCAAGCTCAGATACTTTGGTCACCTAATGCGAAGAGAGGTATCTTTGGAAGAGACCCTGATGCTGGAAAAGACTGAAAGCAAAAGGAGAAGAGGACGGCAGAGGATGAGATGGTTAGGTAGCATCACTGAAGCAATGA